TTTGATTGGGCGCCTCCTCCAATCCAATTGATGTGTCCGTTTGAATGGCGCTTTCTTGCTTCTTGTATGAGTTCCTCGTATGGTCGCTTTTGCAGCTCTAAGTTCTGTGGTTCTAGTGTTCTCTCGCTCTTAGTGGCTGGTAAATGGGGTCAAGTAGCCCATCGCGTCAGAAGGTAACAGATAGCCTGTGACTGATATATAAACACACGCAGGCAAAAAAGAAGTACACATCCAACTGCGCACTGCTGATGTCTCCTCGTATGGCGACGAAACGTTTGCAAGCCAATTGCCAAGCTCGGCGAACGGATCAACAGCCATCTGACCATCAACCAATAATCTGGATCCATTAAGCTTGATTATCCCAAGAATGTTTATTTTTATCACAAAATATCAGGAAAACATGGTTACAAAATTCATGTGATGTTATTAAGATGGCCAACCAATCATTGGGTTACAATTACTGAAGGATCCTGCTATATCGATGGCGAATTACAACGTTACGTCACCTTTGAACCCTACAGGATTAATGAGATTGCAAACTTGAATTACTAATGATTCGTGTAAAACAATTATGACTTTTTACCTGAATTTGTGCAGACAAGGTACACGATTGTCAGTTTGACGGCTGACCGCAAATTTCATTATCTTGGAATTTAGAAGTGTCAGCATTAGGCGTCCGTGGCATCGCAGTTATTTTAGTTCCTGGAAAGCCTCTCAGGTAACGAACTCATACGAATCTGTTTGTAAAACGGCTTAGATTGCAAACAAACATTTGCTTTGAAAGGAAATTCCGTTTATTCTATTCCATCCAACCATGGTTGGGGTCAACCATGTTAATATGAGTGACTACAATAACTGTGTTGACTTGATTATTGTAGACGTCTGCAAATATTCTAAGAATTTTCGTATCAAGTTTCCTTTGGGGCTATTGCAGTCAATCTGGAACTTTCTCGAAATTTTGTGTTCATAGTAATAAAACGAATAGGGGGTTGAAGTTGGGTAGAAACGCGATGAGCAACTTAGAATATTCACATCTAATATATTCTCGGCGCACTTTGGCACTTGAAATATGATTACATTAACCATGAAAGTTTGGGGAGCAACGGAAAGTTCTCATGACTGGACAACTGTCAAATATATGGTACAGGATGCCGTAAGCGATCGTGACTTCCAAACGAGGTTTCACCCTCAGAAACGCGTAACTCTCCTTCCAATGAGAGTTTCTGCAAGCAGGCATAAACTGGTGAGATATGGTACCGCGCTCAAAATTGTGTATTTGATTTCATTTCAAATGATCTAACCAAGGTTGCTCTCCGCTTGCGTTAATGTTGCATATACCATAGCTAGAAGAAATGTTTAATATCTGAAAGTCTCATACTAAAAATAATCAGATTAGTTATGCATATAAACTCTTCGACTAGATACCCTATGTTACATAAGCTTCATGTGATGTTACGTAACAAACACGCAGAACGTGTGTACACAAGATTGACGGCACTAAAACGCCGCATTATTTTGTACCTTAGTAATAAAGGTTCATTTATATCTTAAAGACAAGTCAAAACTATTTTATGCACAATGGAGCGGAGTATGCGCTACACTTTTCCCACAGGAAACCATGAATCAGTAATAACTCTTATGTAATCAAAATTTACATGCATAAGTTGTGCCCGCAGTTAATCCATCAAACATGCTGTAAGCGGAAACATGCGTAGAGTCCTATCTAGACGATGCAATAATTAGCTGTTAACCGTTTCCCATAAATATTATGTATGGGCATGGCTAGGTGGATGCAGAGCTGCTTTTGAGAGTGAATCTAACAAAAGACAGCTTTTTACGGTAGGGTAAATACGTTTCCAGAGAAACCCATTCCGGTAACCCTGGGCAGGATAAAGAAATTCACAGCGCCAGTGCGGCAGGTAGATATCCCGCGCTAGAAAAACCAAAGGCCATAAACGCCTTGAGTGGCCGAGTAAGTGACTGGAAACCTGACCTTCTAATCTGACGGCCCTTGTGCTAAAGTCCTTAAAAATTATCTATCGAGCTTTATCTTGACATCTTTCAATGCTTAGTTTGTCCAAATTGGGCGAGATAAGTTTCACTCTGTCCATAAACGATGGGGTCTTCTTACTTCTTACCTTTGACAAAAGTTGCCCAAATGAACCATTCATTCTATTTATTTTATTATTCTTATTGCTATCATTTGATTTATTCCGTCTAAGCAGTACGGGTTCAAAATGAGTTTGCCTCAGACCACTGACACCTCAGACGCGGCTCTATAAACCACAGCACTTACATGGTTTTAGAAAACAATTTCACATTTTTTTCCATCCGCTTGCGTTAATGTTGCATATACCATAGCTAGAAGAAATGTTTAATATCTGAAAGTCTCATACTAAAAATAATCAGATTAGTTATGCATATAAACTCTTCGACTAGATACCCTATGTTACATAAGCTTCATGTGATGTTACGTAACAAACACGCAGAACATGTGTACACAAGATTGACGGCACTAAAACGCCGCATTATTTTGTACGTTAGTAATAAAGGTTCATTTATATCTTAAAGACAAGTCAAAACTATTTTATGCACAATGGAGCTGAGTATGCGCTACACTTTTCCCACAGGAAACCATGAATCAGTAATAACTCTTATGTAATCAAAATTTACATGCATAAGTTGTGCCCGCAGTTAATCCATCAAACATGCTGTAAGCGGAAACATGCGTAGAGTCCTATCTAGACGATGCAATAATTAGCTGTTAACCGTTTCCCATAAATATTATGTATGGGCATGGCTAGGTGGATGCAGAGCTGCTTTTGAGAGTGAATCTAACAAAAGACAGCTTTTTACGGTAGGGTAAATACGTTTCCAGAGAAACCCATTCCGGTAACCCTGGGCAGGATAAAGAAATTCACAGCGCCAGTGCGGCAGGTAGATATCCCGCGCTAGAAAAACCAAAGGCCATAAACGCCTTGAGTGGCCGAGTAAGTGACTGGAAACCTGACCTTCTAATCTGACGGCCCTTGTGCTAAAGTCCTTAAAAATTATCTATCGAGCTTTATCTTGACATCTTTCAATGCTTAGTTTGTCCAAATTGGGCGAGATAAGTTTCACTCTGTCCATAAACGATGGGGTCTTCTTACTTCTTACCTGTGACAAAAGTTGCCCAAATGAACCATTCATTCTATTTATTTTATTATTCTTATTGCTATCATTTAATTTATTCTGTCTAAGCAGTACGGGTTCAAAATGAGTTTGCCTCAGACCACTGACACCTCAGACGCGGCTCTATAAACCACAGCACTTACATGGTTTTAGAAAACAATTTCACATTTTTTTCCATTTTCCCCCAACATAAGTTTCTTGACCGTGAAGTTCGAATGAAATGGGAGCCTTGTACCTGAGTAGCATGTGTCGCTTTTTTACGTGAGATTACAAACCGCGGAATATCATCACGGAAACTAAGCTTTCCCGGTACCGTTTGTAGCCTAGAGTGTATAGTTTACGTTCGCAAATACTTTTACAATGCGCACAATTTGTAGTCTTGAAAATGTTCTAGTATGCGTTTAGCGTTCTGCCGGGAGGTGATAAATGCAACACCAAACTTGGTTACAATTTTTAAAAAAATATATGCCGGATCACTTTAACAGGAATCTAAACCTACGGAAGGAACTAGCGTATTCAGTCACAGCACAAAAAAACTGCATTTAGGAATGGTATCTGCGTCAGTTCATCATCATAATTATTTCAAAACGTAATAGTATATTACTCTACGCATCGTTCAGATGCATGTCAGAAAAACAACCTTACGGCAGGATAAACACAAAACCTATCCTGGTCTTTGATCTTTAGAGAATCACAAGCAAATTATAAATTAGGTCAAATGATTTTTCTACCTCTTTCCTCCAATGGAACCGAAAGATTAATATGAAATCGCTGTCTCCCTGGAAATCGCTCTTTCTACATTTTCATCAGCGTGTGTTGTACATTTGATGCGATATAGTCCCGGAACACATGTGCAAGGCGTAATAACGGAATTGTTGAAAGCGAGAACAACTACGCTTATTTAGATCTACAATGCACATGGCTTTCCGATGAGTCTGATGTTTAGTTTCGATCACTTTTTGGGTACTTCCATAACCGAGGCTAAATAGCTAATTTGAATCTAGGAACACCAAATACTATATGGAACATTTGAACAGCAATTCTCTGTGAAGAATTGCTCAGCTAATGTCTCCATACAATTACGAATGAAAATCAATAGAAGACGCAACATGCTCCAATTAATAGGAGTGTGCGTTTGACGTTGTAATACTTCAGTAACATCCGACAAGACCAAACTGCATAAAGTGAATAAAATCGAATTAAATGTAGAATGCGTCAGACCTGACGGCATAGAATTAATGAATGCTACTGAAGAGGCCGAATGCTATAATATAAAACAATAATTAAGCAGCTTTGTTGCACTACCGTATTTATTTAGCCATACGATAATCTTCACTTCAGAATCATTCTGGTCTAACCTGACGCACCGGACTATCAATTTTATGGGTTTTGAACAACATTTCCGGGTATAAATAATATCTTCCATGGGCCTGACACATCGGCATGTGCATTACTTGTTGTGAACTTGCGTATCGTTCTGAAGGATTCACGCGTACCTTCATGCGTAAAATATTTGTGGACAGCTTTGACAGCTTATGCAATGTTTTGCGCATCATACTCTTGCTCAATTTTCGCTTCCAACGTCCATTCGCCTAAATTTCGTTTCATTCTATAGAATAACGGCGTGAAATCTGCATGCTGCTTCCGCTTTTAGTAGCAGAAATAGAAGTTAAGAATTCTCTCGTGGCGTTGTGGTCAGATTCGGCTGGTAGGACTTGACGTACTTACTTAGTATGCAGCCCAGGGCGGTATCTTATTGACAGCTTTGTGATCACGTGGGTAAAAGAACAAATAAATATCACTGATACCTCCAAGTTCGGGCTTGTTCACACTGCTTTGCACTTAGCTAAGGTGTTGCGGAGATGTCAGTCCTTGCAAACAAATTAACATGGCTGTTTGTTTTTGCAAAACTCATTGAGAACTTGGAGGCCTGTCATAGTAAGTCATTTCCACAAAGTTTGTTTCAGTGGAGTGATAATGCATGCTCTTCTGCTGAGCCACAAAGTTTGTTTCAGTGGAGTGATAATGTATGTTCTTCTGCTGAGTCAAATTTGTTCACATAAAGCTATAGCAAACGTGTTTTATTGTTCCCATGTAAAACTGAAGAACACATGAGGAGGATGCACCAATTACCAAACGTCTTCGAGAAGTTTTCAATACCCGTGTTAATAATAAAAGCTCAATATCAAAGTCGTTAGTGTAGTAGATTTCACGTGATACTGTTGAGCTCTGTGTGCTGCAGAATGCAATCTAAAGCTTCAAAATTACTTCTGATCGGCATTAGGTTGATGAGCAAGATAACTTCAGATCGGCATTCGGTTGATGAGCAAATGCACTTATGTTGCTCATTCACCTGTGATTCTGTTAATACTACCAGATTAGAAGTTTTATTTTGAGTGAAGACGGAGAATGTATTTAACAACGCCAAATTGAGGAAGAAAACCGGAATCTTTTTTTGGATAGTGAGCTGATAATCTGTAACTGTGCCTAACATTTTTAAAGGGGAATATCACTGGCATTCTAGTAGTACAGGTGATAAAGATAATCACATTTGATCATATCATGATATCTGCAAGCAAAGAGGGGATTTGTTTAACAATTTAGCTCGATAAACATCCTACACTGATCCCACAGAACTGCCACTAGTCACATAGATTGCTTGATGACTTTGAATGACCCCTGCATAAGCGACAGAATTTAAGTCTGGCGTCATTTGCCTAAAATAGTGCAAGCGACTCATTCTGATTCCCCGCTAATTGCTGGACAAAACCACCTCTATTTTTATACGAAATGCATTTCGACAAGCTGTAATGCGTCACGAATCAAATTTCTTGTTTTGCCCTGAAATAAGAGTCAAGTGGTGACCAAGAAATCTTTTTTACAGATCAAGAAGTGCCGGGGACAGTTTTCCATAAATGATGGCAAAATGTGCATTGTCGTTTAGTTTTCATGGTGAAAATGAAAGTCAAATAAAAATTCCGTTTTTCTAATTTACTTTTGTTTTCGAGATTCAGGAACTTCGTTCAAACTGTCGGACGGAATTGCCGTATTTCTGGGCAACCACACTGGTAGAGTTGAGTTCAATGTGACACAACCAAGGACGGTAAAGATAGTGGGTTCGATTGACGGATTTGAAAAAGGAAAAATGCACGGAGTTCACATTCATGAAAGTGGGGACATTGGCGACAATTGCCTCAATGCGAATGCACACTGGAATCCATTTAACAAGTATGTTTTAATGTGGCCTAGCAGGAAACATGGATCTAATGTTTTCTAATAGTAATCGTTTTTTGAAAAACATTTATTTTTTGCATTTTAACTTAAATCGAATCGACAGCCAAACTTGACATTTTAGAACATTGTCAAGGCAATGGTTATTTTTTTCGTTCAATAGAAATCATGGTGGCTTGGATTCAATGGAACGGCACGAAGGCGATCTCGGAAATGCAATGACAGACATGATGGGCGTGTTGCACATCAACGTAACAATAATGATCAAATCTGTGGATCCACCTTTAGATTTCATCGGTCTTTCGCTAGTTGTTCACGCACAAGTTGACGATCTTGGACGCCTGCCTGATGTAGGAAGTCGAACAACTGGCAATTCTGGTGCGAGGTTGGCGTGTGCAGTTATTGGGCGCACAAGTTCTTACAAGGTGAACAAAGCCATGGGTAAAAATACTCCGGACGTTGGACTACTATTTGGTGGTATTGTTTCAATACTTTTAAAGCAAACGTTGTACCACATTCCATGAATTTTGTTTGTTTAGTCAGAAATGTTATAAAATGAACATACTACCTCTCATGCGACGTGATTAATGCATCAATCAAAGTGGAAAAATCAAGGGGTACGTTTAGGTCAGCGGCATGTTGACGTTTTCATGAACTTTACACAATATTTCCAAATATGCATATCATTCAGGCAAAATATTATTTTAAATTTCCGTTACGGGTGAATAAAACGTAAGTTAGATTAGGACACCGCCCACCTGGGTTTTGTTAGGCACTCTGTAATTGTCTGTTGAGCTAAATAATATTGTGACATTTTCCGGTGTGGCAAACAACAATCAATCAGCTGAAACACATCCACACTTGTTTAAGATACTCCTGCTGGTTGAAGAGAAAACGCTTTCTCTCACAACCCAATAGATCTCTACTTTTGTTCAGCTGAAATACTTTTTCCAAGAACACAATGATACTTTAAAAAGAAAGTCTGGCGCAGACATCCGTATTGACCCCCGTCTGTCACGTTTTGCCATACTTTGATAATTGCTAGAGCTACAAGTGCTCTGCACCTCAGCCGGGGATATTTGCTTAAGTAGTTTAAACTTCTCCATGTTTCTGGCCTTATGTTTAACGTGTTTAACGTGCTTGAATTTGCTCACCCATATTTGACTGTGGATTGTGCTTAAAGGAGAAAGTCGGTAACATTTATCAGCATCCAAAAAGTTAACTTAGATCTTGCGGCATTTCTGTTCAAGAATACTCAAATATATTGTGTACTAAGCAGCACAATCTGCAATCATTATATATAGGAAAAGGTATTGGACAAGTTCTTTAGGATTTATCTTTACTAATGCGATTAACTCCCTTGCTCACGTCATCATGTTCTCGTTTTGGAGTAAGTCTCCGACAGCTCTTAAATTGAGCGGTAAGACGAAGTATAGACAAAAAACTAAGGTTGCATGTGACGATAAACGATGGTGATTTAGTAGCACTCAACGTGCAAAAAAAACTCGACGTTCAGAAAACCAGTTCTTTAACTCCGGTGTACTCTATATTTCTCCACACTTTGAAGAGTTATCAGCGTTCTGTAACCATCTATGACCAGGCACCATGCAAAAGACAAACGGTCAACATATCGAGTGGTACTAGGTTTAAAGTGTGCGTCTGCTTTGTAATACGAACTGTGACGCCCCTCTCATATGTTCCATTCCCCATTTCTCATGAACTATTTGGCATACGTTTCCCCTATGACCGTGACCATACTCCAGCATCCTATATCACTGGCGTTGGATGACCAGCCATGATAGATTGTCCAAAACAACCAGATCGCAGGCGTAGGACGAATTAAATTTATGATGCATGTTGGCAAATAAACCGGTGCGGTTGTCCAGCCTCTTTAACTGCCGAATTCCAGAAGCGTGCGAGCCCTTATATGTAGGTCCAATGAGTTCTTTATTAGTATGTCGTCAGCATTTAGAGCGCAAATGTTTAACTTTTTCATGGATATAATTGTACTTTGCGTAAGTTTACAAATAATGCACTGTTTGTGTTTGCGCACAACTCCTAGAAACATCACCAGCTCTCCACGTTTCTGAGCCACCCAATAACATGATATCACTTGTCGAACTTCCTACCGTAGCTAATAAATTAACAAGAAGGTCACATGTGATAAACCCGACTTTTTTAACTCGGAATAAGTCGGCCCATGAATTTATCGGCAGCAAGTACTTGTCATGATGATGCATGAATAGTTTGTTGTATTACTTAACACAGGCATCTGTTTCCAATTTGGTGGCAATGGTTGAATATCAAACGCATCATACCTTAGGCTTAAAAGTTCTTTTGGGCTATGCTTATGTCCTTGCAGTAGACAAGGTAAGAAATATCGATTTGACCATTTGGCAAGCCTCGCTTGGTGGATACTGGTGAACATTAAGACACCTAAACGTAAACAAACAATGATGCGCGGGACGGAAGCGACGAAAGTATGTCGTGTCACTTGCTTTCTAACCCAGTTGCTCCGAGAATACCACTCACGCAAAGCCTAGTAAAATATCTTGTCCGCTAAACAAAAGGGCCAATATATCTAAAAAGTAACATCACAGAATAAAAAGCATCTAATACATCTGGTTACATTTGGTTGCAACACTACACCCATACAATAGCACTCACTACACCACACTGAAAAAAAGTGCTAAATAGTTGTCAGTTTTGAAAGTGAACATTGAGTCACTGCGAAAATCAATAATCCATTAATACAAAAAGGAAGCTGGCTGCCAGGACACAGCATCCATTACCCATTGTTTCATTTTTTGGGGATGGAGAGGTACCTAATTTCAAAAGTGGCATCTCCCAACTATCTTCGTATGCAAGAAGATTATGTGAGCAATGCTAAGCATCCGGCGTAACGCACTTCGGAAACTTCATTTATCAAACATGTCACTGTCAACCAAACCACTAAACTTTTACAAAAAAAAACCGCCTATGATGTTAAACGAAATAGCACCACTTGGACCGGTGACGGGCCTTTGAAATGTGGGTACAATGTGACCGAAATAAAGGGAAGATTGAAAGCCCACGAGAAGTTGACGCAACTCGATCCCAAAGCACGTCACCGAAAACAAGTGACCGAATAAGCAATCAACTAATTACGGCGGAGCGCTTAATTGTCCGTGAATTACACGGGAGGAATCAGGAGAGAAAACCTCCACATGACGTATCAAGGCTAAATCCAGTTGTAGGTTACGAAAACCTATCTCATTTGCTGCGTTGTGGGTTTCCCTTATTTTCAAAAGGCCAAGACGGTAAAAAAAACATCATGATGCCGTCAGTGTTGAGTGAGTTTAGTTCCCGGAAACGAAGAATTTCGTTATAGATTTTGACGGGTAAGACGAAAGCTTTCAGGAGTTGGTTTACTTGTTCTTGTTCTGTAGAAAATCAAAAATGAAGAGGCTGCCGTAGCTCTAGTTGTCCTGGGTCACTCTGGTGTGTTATGGGACATTGTTTCTGGAAATGTATTTAGCAGATGATGTGGGATTCCAAAGAAGTAAACGGTCAGTTTGAAAACTTACTACCCACATTCAGTGATCAAGTAGAGCGAATTGTGCCACTAAATAAGACGAGGGCTTAGTGGCAACGGATATGGATACATTTGACTAATTACTCTGAATTTTCCACGAGGATTATAAAAGCCGCTTATCCCATATTCTCTCATCGCAATTTGCTTGGAAAAAAAACCGTTTCCGATAGCCGCCAACAAAATACAGGAAAGCAAGCTCCACAACCTATGAAGAATATAATTTTTTGAAATTAAATTTAAGCGCAAGAGGGGAATATTTAATGGCCAAACATTACGGCATGAGACACCGGATGTCTCATATGAGGACCACGCCTCATTGCATCCATCAGAATAGTCTGGTGCAATAGAAACAAAATCTGGAGTATCCCCAATTACCACGCCATGCGGATCCTGTTGTTGAAGAATGAATGAGATCCTGTCCTGGTTAAGGCCGTTTACTCACAATATAGTCAACCGCTAGTAGACAAACGGGTAAATGCTAGAAATACGAAACTGAAATTGGCCAGTTAAAAAATCCCCAAAGTTTTGTGGGATGCGAATTGCTTAGGACTTTTCATTAGGATTCTTAATAAGGTTCTTGGCATTTTAACATTGAATGATTCGCAGTAGTTGAGAAAACATTATTGGAAAGTTCTCAAATCTACCCACAATTTTAGGAGTGCATTGGTTTAACTTGGCAAACTGTCTACATTTGCAGGATTTAAAAATAACTCATTGATGATCGCCATTAAAACAAGTGCCTGATTGAACAGCATTAACAAAACTACAGCCTTAATCTACAGTGCTAATCCTCTTGGTGATCACTAGCAAATACCGCGCAATGAAAACGATGGTTGAGGCTAACCCTTGAGGAATTCCATGGTTCTCTGTCTTGTCTCGCGAGAATTGGGTTTCATCAGCATAAGCATGAAAAAGGTACGATCCAGAATGACAGTCATTTGCTCTGAACCACAATACACCATTACTTATAGGATATTATTACGCGAGATATCTGGTCAGCACTTTTGTGCACAGATCGGGTGCGGCTGGTACATAAAATTTCGGAGATGAGTCAATCAATGTGTCCAAAACGTCAGGTTGTTTTAATGCTTCATGAAAACGCATTGCTGATTTTTGCAAGTTCGCAATGGATTACGTATCAGGTGTAGTTATGTGTAGCGTGTCACGGAACATTCAGGTTGAATACTTATTCCGTTTTTAATGCCGATCAATTCTCGAATCCCCAGAGCTATTCGATACCCCTATACTAGATATGGTGAATCCGACAGTTCCGTATTTAATTGATTGTTGATTCCTTGAATTTGCGTGTTTCGGGATCATTCAGCCAAACATTGCGCCAGTGTTTCTATCAACGTAATTCCAAATTTCAATTTTTTCAAATGAATCTACGCAGTCCAATTGCCAGCCCATAAGTGCATATTATTAGGCCTGTATCACTGGCTTATAATGACCTCGGAGTCTCTGATGAACACCCTCCTTGAAGATGCATGCATCGTCTTCATCAGAATGCGTTTCGCAACGGCAGATGAAATTTCTTGCATTCATTTGCTCCCCTGGGGTGACGGTAGTAAAGCCTCACAGCGTAATAGTGATTCTGGTATCATTTCACCTAAAGTTGACTTTGCATGCCAAAAACCAAATTAACTGTATTGTTATACAGCGATCTTAATTTAGCTGTAGTATGTTTTTAGGCACTAAGAACCGTGTAGATACTGTGGAATGCACAGGATATAGCTAACGCTTGTGTCATGCTGATGATTTGAAACACAAGGAAACTTTGTAAACAGTGATGTGGAGAACCCTTTTTTTAAAAGTGTCGATTACACTTTTCCAAACCAATTCACACAGAGAGTAACTAACAGCGCATGAGGAACGCGCGAGTTTGTACTTGATGTCTTTGGATGGCTTTCTTGGAACTACACTTGATGAACTAGTATTTGAATCGGTTAACTCACTGATGCACCAATGTGAAATTCAAAACTAACGAACAGTACACACGTGTGATTATGAGCTAACTATCAATAACTCGTGGCATTATGTGTGTTGTATTTTGTCAG